ATCGTGGTTTCCTAATCGTCCACTGTAGGATTTTTTTTTTTGCGTGCTTAAAGCAAAATACAACACTGGTCCTTAGTTTACTGGATCAGTGTCAGTCATTTCTTTCTAGAGCACGTATTTATTAGCTTCCAAACTGCTGCTACTACAGTACAAGCAGTGTGTATTGGTTTTGTATGGACTATCAGAATCCATATTACCTATGTATGCTATATGATTCCACCCAGAAATATTACTTGCTAACAGCACAATTGAAAACAAACACCACCTGTATTCATAGTTTTATTGGGAAAGTAGCGATATTTGACCACAGAAAGTCATTCCATCAGTGATTCAAGCTTCTTCACCACACTGACAGAACAGGAGGCTTCACTACAGAAGGAGTCTTTAGAGCTCATAAGATCATCTGACTTTGCGTCTGGTGTTTCAGCCGCATGCTCCCTGCGTAGCCTAGCATGCACTTGGCTAACGTAGGGAGCATCCAAGAGTCAGGCCTTCAGTGCCAGGTCTAACTGTGCTACCATTTGTTGCGATAAGTGGTTTACACCATAAAAAACTGTGTTGCTCAATGAAATAAAGTTAAAACGCACAAATGGAGCCAAAGAGTCATTCTGAAAAATTGGTTGTGTTAATTTATTTTACATTGTATATTTTATTTGTGTCACCCTTTTCTGCAATATTTTGAGAAGTAACAACAAAGTCCAGAAAAATTAAAAATTGCAGTTTCTGACCATAGGGTTGGATGATGTCGCTAATATACAGGATAAGGTAATTGTTGGTTTTAGGTCAGAGTTTTTTCTGACCGTTTTTTCCTTTCATCAATTCTCATGTCTGAGTTAGCACGGCTGAGTCCGTTCCTTTTACTCTGCTAAGTTGCCACGAAGCAGTCAGCACCAAGCTGATAGCCGTCAGCATGATGAAAGATGGTGGACGGGAGGTCAGAGTTGCAGATACGAGGTGGGAGTTTCCTCTTGGAAATGCATTAACAGGCGCATGAATAAGCATGAGCAGAAAGGACAGTGACACTTCAGTGTTTTTCATATCCTGGTTTTTGGTACAACTGCCCTGAATCTTCACCTGCTCCCTCTACCTTTTTTTCTATTTGTGGATTTATTTATTTTTTAATTTTGCTGGGGATGGAAGGGTTGAAAAGGGGAGGAAGGCGAAATGAGATGCCTCAACACTTCACTGCCCTCCTACTCCATCCAACTCCCCCACACACCTGGGATGGCCATTTCATTTCAGAGTGCAGCAAATGGAAAGGTGATCTTAATCTACCCTGTTTCCCTCTAACCTCCCCTCCCTCCCTATTTCTCTCTCTCCATCTCCCACACACGGAGCCTCATCCACTGACGGCTGCCTTAACAGAACACCGGATTTAGAGATACGGAGGATTAAATAGCACTTAGGTTTATCTTTTCAACAAATTATCTTGATTTCATATTTGATCTTTCTTCTTAACTGTAGCGGAAGTGTAGGCTAGCTATTACGGTTAGATACAGAGCATGTAGCTTACACTTCCTTCTTTGGGTGGGGTTGCTGAAACCAAAATTAAACAAAAGTAAACTGTTTATTTATTTAACTTTGTCAAAACTTTTCTATTCAAAAATGCAATTACACTTATCTCATCCTGACACTGAATTTCCTACATTATATTTGGCACTACTGTCATAGCATTCTCATTGGTGCTTAAAAAGGGATTCCTTCAGTATAAATTAGATTATAAACTTGATTCTAACATTGTGCAGACTCTGTCGTGCTGGCAGTTTATGTGCTTGTTGGGAGCAGAACTAGTTGACAGCTGACTTTGGTCATAGTATTTGGACATGGACTCTTCAGCGAACAGTAACCCTCTGTTAGCTCATTACTCAGTGTTGGGTTTCTCACCACTCTTTAGCTCTGTGGTCGTTGCAGTCACAAGCAGGGGTAGGCACTTGCCATTGATTTCCTATGAATAGCTCGCTGCTGGCCAGTTCATTAGGACGGCGCTCACACACCACTGGATTAACTGGACTGTAGGCTCGGGGAGAAAATGTTGATTGTGCCGTTAAAGGTTGGCATAACTGAAAGCTGCTTTGTTTGGTGGGGGTATACATGAAAATAATGTTATATACTGTGTATATATGTATACACAGTATATAAAAGCAGCTATAAAGTGAAGAACTGACATCTTGTTTTGATACCACTGGTCATTCGTTGACCCTGACTGGCTGGGTTTCAACAGGTTTCAGGGAGACCTCTGCAGGCCATTTGTCTTTGACTAATCTGTCAAGTTCATCTTGACCTTGTGTTCTTCTGGTACGCAGGATTTTCTTGCATGAGTTACATCAGACAAATATTTTATTTGGCCATTTTTAAGTGCTCCGCCAGATTCGGATCTGGAATTTGCTTGTGTCTGCATGGATACTAAAATACAGTTTATAATAATAAATATTCTTTTTGTCATAGCTACTTCCACCCTCACTAGATCCATGTTCACATTGAGTTTTTTTTTTATTTTTTTGGGGGGGGGGGTTCCATGTTTCTCCCTTTATTCTCCAAACATAGGCAGCTGCTCTGAGACCATTTTCTGGTGAAACCAAATGATCAGTTTGTAGCCTGCATCAGCTCTCTTCACTTTTGCTCTTATGACTGTCTTTTTGGTTCTTTGTAGTCCTTGAAATATTTGATTTTTAGCTCCGACTGTTTGGTTGAGTATAGATGTACATCTCCTTTAACGTCTCACTTTGGTTCCAGACTCTTGACTTGTTAGCATGAATGTTGGCCTTCATGTACAGTACAGATTCTCCTGCTTTGTTTGATCATCTAATGAGTTAAGTATGCTTTAAAAACTTGCTTCAAATCTTTACAGCATTTTCATATCAACACGCACTGCAGTGCTGCTTTGGACTGTGGCTCAATAAATAGATTAGTTAGGAGAGAAAATAACTAAATGTGTACTGGAATAATAAAAATATGAAGGTGGCCTCTTCTTGGTGGAGAGGGACATTTCTGGAGCAGGAGGATGTTCTATTGTGAACTGAAATGAACCATCCCCGGCCAGAACACTCTCCTCTTTTTCTTCTTCTTTTTCTTCTTCTTCTTCTTCTTCTTTTTAACACATGGCTCGAGGCTCGCGCTCCACCTGCCCAGTCGTTACTATGGCAACGCTATCTGGGCCTACCAAGACCTGAAGCCGAAGGACATCCTGGACAACAATACAATAGCAGCACAGCCAAGGTACCTGAGGGACTTAGACCTGAGAGGAGAGATCTGTGGGCTGGGGGTGGGGAGGGGTGCTGGGGGTGGGCTGGGGGTGTGTTGGTTTGCAGACCGAGTAAATCCTCCCTATTTCTCTGCCTCTCTCTGTCTCACACAAACAGTCAGGATTTGCAGTTGAGTCCAAAAAGGTGGCGGAGTAAAACTGGACAATACATGAACCTGTTCCTCCGCTGGTTCAGAATCAAATGTTTTGGAAAATCTTTAGGATTTCTGGGTAAAAGCTTTTGATGGGATTTTCTGGTGGTGAGTACAATAACTTGATTATTACATACTGCACCTGGCCGTTTGTTTGTTGGGGTTAGATGAACAGTGTAGGAACAGAGAGAAGGTGTCTCTCCTGATTCTCAGAGCTTCTTCCAGCTCCACAGTCGTGATGCCGGGCTCTGAACTGTGCCACACGGTACACTGTGACAGAGATGTTTAGAGTCGGTTTCCTGGTGCTTACATTCCTGCATGTAGAGCTGCTAATATAATGAGAGTGAGGGGTTACGTCAGGTCGGCCCCAGCCGAGGACCGCGGAACACACATTGTTGTCACTGGCTCCATCTGTGTTTCCCTCTTAAAGCCACAGCGCAGAGTTTGTGGAGTCTGACACTTTTCAGAGGCAGCTCTGGGAATAATAAAATGCTGTAGAGATGAGTGTTGTCCAAAGTCTGCTTCTGGGGCTGATTGTGGCACAGAGAGGGGAAGTTTTCACATATTCTTTTTTTTTTTACTCCATTTTGAACGTTTTCCCCCTGAAAATTTAGATTTTTGGTTAATTAAAAACCATTCTTCCTGACAACATTTTTTTAGCTATGAAATGACATCAGCATTGTTTTGAAGGGAGGGGTGTTTTGTGTTATAATGATCAATTCTTATAATGATGCTAACGGCAGCTTTATCTGACATTTAGCTCTTTTGATAATGTCCATTTGGTTTTGCCATCTTTTGTCCAGTGCTAACTTTTAAAATCTTTTGTTATCTGAGTTTCTTTGGGCTAGTTTTGGTTAACTATTAGCAATTTTATTTTTCTTTTGACTCTTTCTCATGTATTTTATTGCATACATTGTCTTGTCATATTTGAAAACAGTATGGACTGTATTAGCTACGCACTGTGCTAATTAGATTTGGTTAATTAGTATTCGTATATATGTTATTTTTGACTTGACGTGATCGTTAAACCTTGACCTTATGACCTTTAAAATCAATTGTTGCACCGCTTCTCTTCACCTGTTCTTTAGAAATAACAATGAAATGCTACAGTTTAGTAAAATGTAGGTGAAACATTGTTACTAATTAGAAAAAAAGTTTGTGTTTCTCTTTGTTCAACATGTATTAACAAATGTTTAACAGTTTTTCACATGTCATTTATTTCTATTGTTGAGATTAAACTTATTGCCTGTGTTTTCATAATTACTGTGCAGCATCTGTATATCACAGCATGCATTTGTTCCCTTTTAAGCCATAAGAGGATTTAAGTCGATGCTATGAAGCGTCATTAGCTGCGCAGCGGTCGACCAGGCAATTGTAAATCTCTGTTATGTTGAACACAGCGACTTGTGCCGTGACTCAGTACATATATGTTTATGTGCATTTTAGTCTCAGGGCTTTAATAAAAGTGTGAATACGTATCGTCTGTTTACATCCCAGTGGTTGAAAACACTACATTGTGTAGGTCCACGTGTGAATGAGTGAGCGTGTGGGACCTGCTTAGTCATGCTAAAAGTCTCGTCTTACACCTCCTCTGTGTCTCTTTGCAGGCAGCCTCACAAACAGGATGTTAATGCTTGACGGAATGCCTGCAGTCCGAGTCAAAGCTGAGCCCCTGGAATCAGAACGAGGGGTAAGACAGCAGTTGTTTTCAAGACTATTTTTCTTTTTTTCTTTTTTTTTTCTCTTTTCCTTTTCTTCTATCCTCCTCCCAGCAATGGGTCGATAATCACTCCCAGGCCTGAACGAGTAAGAGGGAGAGAGTAGAGTGTGAGTGTGGGGGCTAACAGGAATGGTCGGAGAGCATGGCAGCAGGCAGGAGAAAAGGAGAAGAGGGGAGAGCTACAGCTGGAGCGTGAATGCTTCAGAAGAGTTTCTGGGAGGTGACTGGGGCCAGCTGAGAGTCTGTGCTGGCTGGGGGTGACTGCACAGATGGAGTCACTGCTCCACAGAGGAGGGTCACATGGGAAACTCTAAATCTTATCCATCTCTCACTGTCCCTGCCCCCCCATTTTTGTCTCTCTTTTTTCCTCCATCTTCTTTTGACCCTTTTGTTTCTACAAACACACACAAAAATATCTCCGTGCTAATAAACTCCATCTGCAAACACTATTATTCTTATTACTTTTGGGGGTTTATTTCCAACCAGGGCTGCAGGTAGCACTGAATCAGGCTGTGTGATGTAGAGTTCACTGTGCAGTGGATTAGATTTGAAGGACGCATACAATAAATGGTTCCATTAAAGGTTAAGAATGTATTGATAAACGTCACGTTTTCTATTCCACTTGTGGATTGGCAGCAAATCACAGCACATTATGTCACAGGTCGGGAGAAAAAATGCTGGACACTTTTTTTTCATATCAAAAAGACAAAAATGCACCAAAGATGCTACAAAAATAAGTAATGTGCAGCCATCACAAACTGAAACTCAGGAAAACAATCTTTTCAATCTCAAGTTTCTTGAGGTGATAAGAGGCGTTCACATCATTCTGACATTCTTTGTGCTGCTGTGACAAGTTGACGACGTCTGAACACAGTATTCTGATGTCTCCAAGGTCGGACTGTGATCACACTATTTTTTTTTTTCCCGGCGAACCGTCAGGGTTTCCACACTAAAACACAACTAGCAGTCGATGTTTGAAGTGACGGACGCAAAACCCTCAAAGGAAAAATGGACGACTTGTTGCTGCAGACGACAGTCTCTTTTCTAACTGCTGACTTTAGGGGGTGCTGTTAAACTATTCCACAAAGACTATGATAAACGACGATGGAATTCTGGGTAAGGTTTTCTGAGATCACTGTATATTTAGGTTGATTAATGCGTGTTTTCTAAACCTTAACGTTGTTGTCCTACAGTCTATCATTTCATTAGTGGTTTGCTCTGATTATTTTGCGTCCTCACTGTCGTCCCCCGGTTTGTTGTCTGCGGTCAGAGATGGGCCCTAATTACTCAGTGTATATCACCCATAATGGGTTTAATGGAGTAAGTTCACACAGGGTTTTCATGCTGCTCATACAGTATCAGTGCTCTCTGGTTGGTTTTGACACACGGAGAAATAAAGTGGTCTTGTTATGGTGAGGCTGTTGCTAGGTAACCCAGGCTTTGTGTTGCTGCTTTCTCAGCTGTGTGTATGTGTATGTGTGTGTGTGTGTGAGTGTTCAGTGGGTGCAGACCACTTAATATTTGCAATCATGATGAATTAGCATTCATTTATTACTGATTCCCACTCATAACATATCAATAATATCTGCCAGCCTAATAAATCAGCAGGTAGACGGAGGAGAGGAGCAGCGCAGCCTCAGCCGAGGTGAATCCCAGAGCATTAGTCTGTGATGGATGAGAAAATTACCAGCAGCTGATAACCTATCAGGTTATCTCAAGTCTTGTAGAGAATTGTTTGGCAATGGAGGCACTGTCTCGATAAGAGCTGGTTCTGTCTGTTCATATCTACAGACGGGGAGGAGGTTAGTCGCTGGATGTTCTGCTCTCGTTTATGGCTTAAGGGTTTGCAGCTGCCAACGACTGTATATAAGAAATGGACCCGACTGCACAAAGACGGGAAGTTCTTCACTGACACGACTTTGTTGATCTATAGGAATGTGAGACTATTTCGCTATTTATTAGAATACTTACTGTCCCCATCAATAATTACAAGTATCTTTGATATCAGTTTCCTATGATACAGTTATATTAAAACGGGTTGGTTGAAGCCACGGTACAGGTCGTACCTCGGTACTGATCCTAGGTTTGGTACATTTAGGGTCCGAAAAAGAAAGTTCTTGAGTTTGCATTGTCTTCTTACCTGTTGCTTTTTGAGGGATCAGTAAAAGCCACATTTAGATGGTGCTGTTTCAAGTCATGTTTGGTTTATTATTAGCCAGATAGCAGATATTAATATGACAATGACAAGACATTGTCTTCTTGCCTGTTCAATTACCTCCTGTCTTTGTTAACTGAGTGGTGAGTTCCATGATTTCGTCCTGGGGTAAACTGGAAGTTTTCCTGCTCTGCACACTAGTAGTAGTAGTTTTTCAGAAATACTAGGCTGCAGACGTGTAGCGTCTTGTACCAAACGGTTCGGTGTGTAAAAACTATTCTGTTACACTCCTACAGAAGGTGACTGTGAGTGGACACAGTGGGTGGTAGCTGTCACGGCTTTCACATGTAATGGAATACATCAATATCTATTCAGGATTGAAGGGGAAAGATACAAATCTAAGGTGGTGATTGAATTTTCCCCCTAAATTATTGATTTACCATAAATTGACGGGCAGTTTACAATTAAACCACAGGTTCTTCTCAAGACGACTGAAAAGTAGTGATCGAGACCTAACCTTTTAATGAGTGTTTGTTGGTAGCAGTATTGGAGAGAAGTGTTTTTTCAACCCATACTGTTGTTTTTAAGACTGTGACTTGAAGAAGACGTTCAATCAACAGCAGCAAGAAAAATGTCGTCAAGGTGTTAATGATTTGACCTTAGACTTTCAAAAGTCTTCCTTGTAAACACTGCCCTCTGGTCTGTGTCTGTGTTAGTTTTTATATACTGTCTGTCTAAGGCTGCGAGTGAAAACCCCTGAGGTTTTGAGTGTGTCTCCATACATGTAGTGTTGTCAGTCACATACAGGATGTGTGCTCTGCAGCCCACACAGATTTGAAGAGCACTGATATCTCATCTCGCTCTGACTGACTGAGCTTCCTCTCAGAAGCAGACAGACAGGGATTCAGGCTCCTGCTGTTGCTGCTGCTGCTGCTGCTGCAGAAATGTGGTCTTCATTTGGGTGGCGGGGGGCCAAAGGCTTACTGAAAATGGCCGCCCTGGTTAGATGACCGGTAAAGGTCTGTACAGTCTGAGGACAAGTATCTCCCTGACAAAGATGATGGCACGCAGCCCGGTTCATCATGTATTTGTACGTGTGCGTAGGTTGAGGTGTGTTTATACCTGTCAAAATGAAAGAAGGGGGTGGATTAATTTTCCATCCAAGTTTGCTTTCAGAATCTAACCCCAAAATCCATAACAAAGTTTCTGTTTTTGATTTGATTTGAACAAAACACATACTTACTGAGACCTTTCCACACAGAGACTTCCTGTTCGTACACATGGCCCACAGATAACTGGCCCATTCAGCAGTTTGAATAGATAAATATGTTCTTCACTGTCATGAGCACATGTCAAGAATGAGCCTTTAAGAGAAAACACACTTTTCCTGTATGGGTTTGATGGTCATGAATTCAATTCAAGGCTGTAAATTTCTTGTGTTCGTCTTGAACGTGGAACGTGTTATGAACGCTTTTCACTTCTTCTTTGAGGCTGGTAAATGAAGTGGTCAGGAGTATCTGCCCTGATGCCATCTATTTTAGCCAAAACACAGGCAACAAAACAGCTAGAATTTAGAAAAATGCAAGTAAAGTTAGGGGAAATATGGCACCAAGACCATACAGCCCAAAAAACAATCTCCAAATAATGTGTTAGTTAGCTACAAAGGCTTGAAATTGTTTAAGCATGGCTAACGATTAGCAATAAGACGGGCTCATATTCTCTAATTTAGCACAGAAACGGCTGATAGACAAATAAAAGAATAAATATCTTAAAATTTTCAAAATTTATAAATGTTTAGGCACAACTAAAGAAAATCGAGCAGAAAACGGACACAAATCTCCCAAAGAAAAAAGCCAAATTTGAAAAAGGTGAAATTACATCTGTCTTATGGAGTCATTTTAGAATTTACCACAAATTCCTAAATTCTTACTGATAAAAGCAGCTGCTACTAATGAATGAAGTATTGATACCAGTAAGAGTGATTTTATCTTTTCTGGGTCGTGCAGTGGAACCAACACTAGACACGTCTCCAGCAGCCGCTGTATTTTCTGTTATTCCCTTTTCTTTCCTGTTGTCTTCTCTCTGTGTCAAAACTATAAACTGTTGGATCGAGCATCAAGAGAGACCAAAATTTCTAAATACCTCGCTTTACTGGGATTGTCTGATGTCTTCAAAGCCCGGAGGCGTTTTGGGCTTCAGGCCGTCTGATGTTCTATACAGTAGAGCACAGTGGGCGAACACAGAGATCACATGCAGCAGCAGCTGGAGGACTGCTGCAGGCTCTGTCAGGAAAGAGACGGCGTCAGGAGAAGATGTTCAACTCCTCAAACATGTGATCGATACTTTACAGAAGCAGAAACTGTGGTCATGGGAAAATAAGACGTACTGTCCGGGTAGAGGCGGGGCTTACAGTTTACGATGGCGTTTCGTGGTAACATGGCATCTCCCATAAATGTATTAATTATGTAGGATCCATAAACCAATGACCTGTTGTGAACAGAATTACAACAGAAGTGTTGTATAGGTCCTACTTTGGCTAACCTGAGGTTAATTTCACTGTTTTTGTCAGTCTTTGAACTGTTTGCTTTTTTTTATGATTGTGGCTAAAGCCAACCATGGCTAACCATACTATATATATTTTTAAATATATTTTTTCTATATTTTCCTATTTCTTTATTGAGAAACAGTTCTTGACCGAAGGAATTTTAATTAACTTTGGTATAAATCTGGCCTCCATTTAGTGACTGTATCAACCGTACCAACGTCTAACTCTTTTGTAGAAGGCTAAGATTTACGTTTCACTGTATTTTTGCTAAATTTGGACTAGTTCTTTATGGACTTTTCATTACGATCCTACTTAACGATTTGAACTTTTGGCTCTTTAATCAGGTTTATTTATATTTCGTCTAACTTTAGCTAATCATCCCTATTTCTTTCCTCTTGTTCCACAGTGAATATATTCAGTGCTTTTACAACAAATTGGAGATGATGTTGTTTGCTCTTTATTTTTCCAGCTAAATTACAGGACTAATTTAATAGTCAAATATTCTGTGGTAATTTGGCATTATTGGATTATTGCACATCCCCCTGCTTGCATCATTCCATTCACATTGGAATCCACTCACTGTACTGCATATCTGTCTCCTCTACGTCGCATTAAGACAAAGAGGGTTTTGTATCATATCTGTACCACGTGTCCGTGCGACGCTCGTCTACTTTTTAATGTATAGATAGATATACAGTATATGTATATTCAGTTCATTCTGAAGTGTGGGTCACAAGAAAGCACCGTCATAAATCAAGACTTTATGTCCCAAGAAAAGCAATGAGATGATTCTGTTGAAGTGGTTTGTTCTCAGTGAAGCCTCTGTTCGATGCCCGGTGTTTCCCCTGTGTTGTCACTGACACACAGTCAGTGACAACACACGACAAATTAGGACAAATGAGTTGCTGTGAACTACTCACTGTTCTGTTGTGTGTATGTACAGATGGAGCTGTTCACACTCTGCCTGCTGCTGCGTAGACTGAGTGTTAGTAACTCCTGAGTAGTTGACTTACATCAGGTGACCGGGGATCAGCTGCTTCATTCATGCTGCGCTGACAGTCAGTCATCCATTAGCTTCATTAAATATCATGAAAAAAAAGAAAAGAAACGTGTCTCTGAGCCGACTGCTCCTCTTCTAACACATATGAATATAATTGAGTTTCAAACAGATTAATTTAATTTAGTGAATTTACTAAGAAAATAAAACACATTTTCATCATATTTCATAATTCATAGCATAATTAAATTTAACCCACGCCGCAAACTGTTGGACGGATTCCTTGTTCAGATTTTGCTTTTTAATGATTCACAAGTCAAACACCACATTAAATAATTTTCTAAATTAATTTCATCAGAAAAATGAAGTCAATGTTCAGTTTAAGTTCAATATGAACAAATATTAAACAAACAAAGGCTAAATGGCGGCTTAAATTAGTTAAGTGATGCTAAACCACAACCTTTGAATTCTAAATGCGCTCTATTTTACATTTAATCTATTCCAATTCATGCACAGTCGAGATTGTTGAAAGTCAGAACAGCATTAACTGCTGAAGACGAGCAGGGAAATCCAAAGATACGAGTTGTTAACTAAGTGATTGACTTACAGTGACAAAAAGTCTTTTCAGCCTAACTGATCTGTAAAACAATTTTCTATAAATGGTCAATACTTTGAGGATATGACTGTGAATGAACTGTTGTGAAAGGAAAAATCCATGTGAGAGTTTCCATTCAGGAGGAGCAGTGACTTCATCCTCATAAGTCATCTTATCACAGTTTGTTTTTTTCTGTCCTGACACCTGAAGCCACAGAGTGAAGCCTCAGTGGGTGGTTTCATGAAGCCATAACGTGCTGTGCACCTCGACCTTGCCTCCCCCCCCCCCCCGCCCCGGCGCCCT